ATTCAGCCAAAAAAAGTGAAATTATGTCATTTGCAGGAAAACATATGGAACTAGAGATCATTATGTTAAGAAAAAGAAGTCAAACGCAGAAAGTCAAGGGTCGTTATGTTTCTTCTCATATTGCGAAAGCTAGATAGGAAAAGGAAAAGAAAGATGGGGATGGATCTCATGAAAATCAAAGGGAGATCAGTAAAGGAAAAGGGACCAAAGGGAAAAAGGGGGGATGTGTGCTGGGAAGTGATATTGGCCAAGTTACATTATTATGTTTTGTGCATGTGTGACTGTGTAACAACAAATCCTATCAGTATGTACAACCATTAATAATGCACCAGTAAAAAATGTGGAACAAAAGAGAAATTAAACAAAAGGAGATAACACATAGAGTCAAAATAGGAAAGCGATTTAGGAGAAATGGGCTCAATATCTTAGTGAAATTTGGGTGTTTATAAAAATGTTTAAATATATTTTTGAAAATGCATATTTAACATGAGATATACCCTAAACATTTTTAAACCAATAACTTACCATTCATTTTGTCTTTTTAGGGAGAGCCTGGAGTTAGAGGTCCTCCAGGTCCTGCGGGGCCTCGGGGAATAGGAACCCAAGGGCCAAAGGTGAGTTCTCAGGTCTGTGCTCTATGGGAGAGTCAGATGCAGGTTGAGCATCCCTGAAAATCTAAAAAGTCAAGAATCTGAAGTGCTCCAACTTCCAAAACTTTTGAACACCAACAGGATAATTCAACACCTGACCTCATGTGATGTGAGGCAGTCAAAACCTCGGCCTAAAATTATGCCCAGCTATATGTATAAAGTGCGAATGAAACATAAATGAGTTTTGTACTTATATTTGGATACCATACACAAAAGGTCTCAGTATATATATGTAAAAAGATCTGAAAAATTCCAAAATATGAAACACTTCTGGTGCCAAGCATTTCAGATAAGGGATACCCACCCTGTATCTGTGCCGTCAGTGCCAAACAAGTGAACAGCAACTTCAGAGTAAGTGTTTGTGTTGGTGTTGACTTATTCTTTCCTTGATTACCTATGAAAAGTCTTATTTTTTTCACATCATATAACCTTTTTAAATTTATAAAGCCACATGCTTCCTCAAAAGAAATTAGAAAACGGCCTCCGTTAAGTAGTTCCCAAGAGCTCAGAACATTTCTAGGTTTCGTATCGGCTGTGCTGTCATCAAGAACCATGTCTTTTCTTTGGCCAGAGGTGCTTCAGGTAGCCTTTCAGCAGGTCACTCAGGGGTTCATGTATCTACTGTGTCATATGCCACATTCGCTTGGGCAGACCCTGGGTGCATGGATCTAGATTCATTGTCCCCATAGAAGGCGAGAACTTCCTTTTTCCCCTTTGCCTTTATTTTTATGTCTCCTTCTTTTTTTCCTCCAGTTTTATGATTATTCATCCTTTTATTCTTTTAATCCAGTATTTCTCAGTGAGGGAGATTTTGTCCTTCCCCCTGACCTCCAGAAGGACATTCTGGGCTGTCACAGCTTGGGGTGCTACTAGAATTTAGTGGGTAGGGCCCAGGAACACTGCTAAATATCCTATGATGAACAGGATGGCTTTTCATAATAATCATCTGATTCAAAATATCAATAGTGCTGAGTTTGGAAAACTGTTTTGTTTATTCATTTATTTAGGAAATATTTTTTATTTGTTCAAAAAATGAGGTAAGAAGTATCAGACATGTTCATAAGGAAAATAGGTATGAATGAACTGTCATCATAGATTCAAATTTCAAATAGATGTATGCACATCCAAAATACACAGAGTGAATCTGAACCCCATGATCAGAAGAAAAGACTTTCTGAGTCAAAGATTTTACCGAGAATCCCAGAATTATCAGAATCACAATTTATCCCTTATTTGTCTATTAACTCCATGTGGCATTAAGCTATTTTTGAGCCCTAATAGATCACTTTATATATAAAGATCTCCTACCATCCCCCAACCCCAGATGTAAAAAATCATTATCTCACTGGATGATGAGAGTATGGATCCACTTATCTTCTTATTGTCATCTTCATTTCTGGTCTTAAATAGTTTTGCAATGAGGAAGTAATTAGATAAAATAAACTTTTTTTTTCATATTGAAATGAAAAAGACTGACTTATATGGTAATGTATATTAACCCACAATTTTTCAGAGTTTGTTCTATTCAATGTTAATATAGGAGCTTCTGAGATAAACAAAGATAATCCCTATTAGGAGACTTCTTTGAACCTTTCATATATGTGCCATATAACAATCTTTCGGTCCAGACCATACTGCACATATGAGGGTAGGTGTAATGCCTAGTGATGTCATAGCCATCTTAGTTTGTATAAGTACATTGTGATGTTTGTACAAGAATCAGTCACTATGCATTTGTCAGATCATATCCCCATTCTTAAGGGCTGCATGACTGTATTAATGGGCACTGGAGATTTCCATGGGGAGGCACATAGTGTTTTCCAATCTGACTCCACCATTAAAGAGTCTTTCCTCAGAAAACATGGGGTCATCTTATGAATACACCCTGGGAAATGCTGCACTTACTTACTGTCTCATGTTTTCATAGAAAGTTGAATAT